TTTTCATGAATCTACTTTCAGAGGGTTTGTTTTTGTTTTTGTTTTTGTTTTTGTTTTTGTTTTTGTTTTTGTGGTGAGGGTTGACAGCCTGCAATTGTTTTATTCATTCAGTGTCATATCACATGTTGATGAATAGTTTCTAGTTTGGAGCTAATGAATAGTGAGTCCATCTGCCCCACACCGTAACTTCTGATTCTTTAAGAATACATTCTTTTATTTTTCTTTGCTCATTATTATATTTTATTTAGCCTGAGTATTTGAGATTGGCATTGCCAGAAATTGCAGTTAGTTCACTGTTTTCTGTTAGTCCCAGAGAAAAAAATAAGTTTAGATTTCTTTCTGTTCTTCCATTCTTTTTTCTTCTTTGCTTTTCCTTCCCTACTTTTTTTTTTGATCATGTATCTTTGCAGTGTAGAAGTTTAGAAAACAAATTATGTAGAATAGGCAGAGGAAGAAATGACCCTAAAAGAAGTTTCAGCTTTCTTCTGTGACCATCTTTCCAGCCTATCTGCCTTGTTGTGTTGTCTGTTAAAAAGCCTGCATTTTCAAAGTTCCATTTACTTTGTTTGCAGGTATACGGGATGACTTGTGTAGGAGAATTATAGAGTGAGTCCAGAAACCTAAGTCCTTTTCTCAGCCTTACTTCTGAACTAACTTTGTGACCTTAGACAGATCACTCTTATTTCTCTGTACCTTCTCATTCATAAAATAGGTTTAGACAGATCATTTCTACATTTTAGCTCTGATTAATTATACAACCTATAAGTTATACAAAATCAAATTTGTAAAAATAAATGTGTAATCGTTTTTTAAAGTAATGATTGGTAAGAAATTTCAGGCTCCAAATGGGAGAAAAATTATCCAAGATTGGCCTTTTTTATTTCCTCTCAAATTACTGTAAAGTTTTATTCATGGACTTACCTGTCATTAGCAGAGATAACTTTGAGGTGGCTGCCTTGAATTACAAAATGTAGTTTTTGAATTGTCATATTCAGAGCTAGGGAAGTTAAAAGTAGTTTGTGTGGCCTAAATTATCCTTTGCAGACAAATAAGGCCACAAAGACTTTGTGTTTCTTCACTGAACTCCAGTTGTGCAATATTTTGCTTAGTAATCTGTTGTTTAGTAGATGTGCGTTCCAGAGGTCAGCTGACCATTTATCAAAGTCCGTTCATATATAAGCATAGTGGGCAACGTAGAGTATATCCAAGATCTGGTAGCAGTAGAGAGTTTACATCCTACTCCTCACTGCAAATGACTTCAATGTTGCCATGTTATACACTGCTACCAGTGCTGCTAGCTGGTGTTCCATTTCTTGTGTCTTCCCTCAGGAAGCTTCTAGGCTCTCTTGGTATATAATTTTTTCCCTCTGGACCTCCCCCAACCTTAGATTTCTTATTTCTTTTGCAGACCTAGTCTAGATTTTCCTTTGCAATTTTTATAATCAAACTTATCTCAGTGCTCATCTAAGGTCCTTAAGTTACCACCATCTGCCCTCCTTCAGATGCCTGTTTAGCAGTGTTTAGTTCTATAGACTGTGTCCATAGGTAAATAGGAAAAAATAGGTTTTTAGTCTTCAGTTTTTTACTAAAGGACTCTTCCAAAATTGTCAGTTTATTAACTCTTGTTTCATGGTTACTATATTGCTTAGGGATCTTAACAGTGGAATATAAAGAGCTTTTTAAATTTGGATAATTCTGAGCGGATTAAAGCAAATGACAAGTCCAAGACTTTTTGCTATGATTTGAGATCAGTTTTGCTTAATAAAAGGCAGTGGCTGAACTTTAATGAATACTTCCTGACCAGCTTTAGAATTTTTTAACTTGGGAGTTTGTTTTGTTTTAAAAGGCAAAAATGGTCCCCAAATTTTCTGATTATATCACAGATGAATTCAATCTTATTACTGTCATAGTCAACTTTATTGAAAAGTTCTGATCAGCTGATAATGCTGGTGTTGTGATGAGACATGGCATGTGCTCAGAGTAAATTTAAGTCTAGGTGAGAACCAGAATTTCTCTCAGAGACTAACTTAAACTTTCATGGACAAATTGAATCCCCTTGGGATTTATTATTTATAGACATATGCCAATTTAATAATTTGACTACATAAAATACTCTGTAGTAGTCCACTTAAGGAAAATAACTATGCCAACATGGTATTTATAAGTAAAGAATTTCTGGTAAGTATTATGTTTACATAACTATCTGCTGTATTTATGTAGCTATAGTTGGGTGCTTCACCAGGATTCTACAAATTACTCAGAATCCCAGGAAGTAAGATTTCTGAATTGCCTATTTTCAGTATGTGAAAGTCCAACTACAAAATTATTAACTTGCCCTTGTCATATGTTTGCATTTGCTGTGGAGCTGAACCTAAAATTTATCAGATGATTGACTTGGCTTGTTACATTTTTATATTTATAATATATTTTTTCAAAAGTTTAGGTTTTGTTTTTAGAAAGCATAACCTATGTATCTTCAAATAATTACTTATTTGGTAGTTTCATATGTATATCTGGAAAATACTACTGGACTTTCCTATAAAAGAGAAAGATTCCTGTTACATAGTATCAGAATCTAGACGTGGCTGTGTATGTGGGAATGTAGTAATAATTAAATAGTTTCCATTTGCTGAGTGCCTCATTTGCCATATACTGTGTGACTACTTTGCAGTCATTACCTCATTTAAACCTTGTAGCAACGTTCAGAGGTAAGTATTAATATGGCCATTGTACAGATAAAGAATGCTGGATTAGTAGTATTAAGTGCCTTAAGTATACATTTGTCCCTTGGGATCGGCAGGGATTGGTTCCCAGAGCCCCCATGGATACTAAAATGCTGAAGTGGCTGTTTAAGTCCCTTCTATAACATAGCATAGTACAGGGACTATAGTCAGCCCTCCATATCCATGGATGCAAAACCCAAAGATACGAAGGACTGACTGTGATTCCTCCCACTTGCCCTTTAGCCTAGCTAAAGAAATTGAGATACAGAGATGAGGCAGCTTGCTGTTGACCTTCAGCAGATGACTTGACCTCACCATGGCTCAATCTTCTTCTACCTACCTACCTATCTAGGCATTCCATCTAATCTTTACCACAGATGCACTAATGTCTATGTTCCAACCCAGGCATTCTGGAAATTCTGATTTTTTAGTCTTATTTTCTCGAAAGCCCCACAGATAATTCTTTTGTACAGCCATGGTTAAGACCATTGCCTTAGTAGTAAATGGTGCTTTAGAGTTCAGGCAGGCTTGAATCAGAGCCCTGATTCCCCTAAATTTATCTATTAATTGGCATTAGCCAAGTTCTTTAGTCTCACTAAAGTTCATTTATAAATTGGAGGTAATACAATTACCCACTTTAGAGTGTTGTTGGGAATTAATTGACGTAATGCTTGTAAAACATATCAGAATGATTTAGAATTCATCTTAAATATTGTCTGCATTAAGGTATCATTAGTATTGTATCTTTTGTCCAATTAAAACACTTACCTTTGCCATATTGTGTATCAACTTGGTGTCAGAAAGGTAATCTGATGAGTACCACCATAAGGAATGAATAATGGCTAATTTTCATTATTTACCCTCCATTAGTGGAATTGTAATAGGAAGCAGACAAGTAGGCAGGAGATCATTTTATTACACCTGTCGGCCAGAGTTCTCTGCTGTGTATTAGTTTGGCTCTAGTAGAGTAAAGAAGGCGGTGGGGAGAGGTTGCTTGGAAACTGTTTTCTTCCTTAATTGTTTTTCCTTCTTCCTCTTTCTCTCCCAGCTTCTTCTCAGAGCTTAATATCACTGACATCATCAATCTCCTAGTCTCCTAAGTGCATCCTGATTCACCTAGGAACTTTTCCTCACGCCTCTCCATCTCTCCTTCACCTCCGTTAAATCTCATTCTGTTATTCTTTCAGATTTCTTTGAGTTCATTTGTGACTCATTTGATGACTTGGAGTCCAAGTCTCTACATTCCTAGGCTATTACTCAAGTAAAGGCCAACCTAAATCCTGACCAACTGTCTTCCTGCCTTAAACCCCATTCCAGACCAGAGGTTTAAGCTTTTGATTATTGGGAAAGGATTGGATTGGCTAAGCTTTCAGGCTTGTCCACAGTGCTATCCTAGACCTTTTGCTCTCCTTTACTGTTTATACCTAATGGTCATAGAGTACCATAATAATGATACATGCTATTACCATTAGATTAGGTTACACTGAATTGTGTTACATGTAAATGTGTGTAAACTTGCTTTGCAACTTGCAATAAATTGGGGCTGGACCACTTATAGTAATTTAATAATTTATTGCCTTTATCAAAGACTGAAAAATCTATGTAAAAGGTAGAATTTGAGCTAGACTTTAAAGCATGGGTATACTTATTTCTATAAGTAGGGAGGAATGGCAAGGGATTCCAGTTAAGGGGACTGACATGAGCAAAGTCTTGAAGGAAGGAACATACAAATTTGGATCATTGTGAATAGAGTTTTACTTTTTCAGAGGGTTCATGTAGTAGGAATAAAACTAGATATTTGGAATCAAACTTTGGAAAATCCTGAACGTTCAACTGAGATGTTTGAATTAGTAGGCTTTTGGTATGTATGTCCTGTGAATTCATTTGGCTTTTCTTGACTAATACATATACAACTTAGTTCTGAGATTTCTCAAGAGATTCACATGTTCAGTGCATCATTGACCATTTGACCTGGTTCATGTAAGCTGATGGCCACTGCCAAGTGATTTTTCTACCTCAGGTGGTTGTTTCTTGGGGAAATGTCAGGTCAGCTACTTTTATCATGATGCTTTAGTTCTCTCTGCTTGTTGTCAGTTCTGAGCTGTGCCTGATCAGCCTTTCCCCTAATTCTTCCTTGTTAATCATCAGGTTCTAAGTCAGCAATATAAATTCTAATTTAAAGCTTTCTTTGTATTTCCTTCACTCTTAAAAAAGTTGTTGGATATGTATTTTGTTTATAAGATAGTTATTAACTCTTCTGTTTCTCTTCCTTTGCAGACCTAAAGGATCAAGACATAATGGGAGCATTTTTAGACAAACCAAAGATGGAAAAACATAACGCCCAGGGGCAGGGCAATGGGCTGCGATACGGGCTAAGCAGCATGCAAGGCTGGCGAGTTGAGATGGAGGACGCACATACAGCTGTGATTGGCTTGCCAAGTGGACTTGAAACATGGTCGTTCTTCGCTGTGTATGATGGGCACGCTGGGTCTCAGGTTGCCAAATACTGCTGTGAGCATTTGTTAGATCACATCACCAATAACCAGGATTTTAAAGGGTCTGCAGGAGCACCTTCTGTGGAAAATGTAAAGAATGGAATCAGAACAGGTTTTCTGGAGATCGATGAACACATGAGAGTGATGTCAGAGAAGAAACACGGTGCTGACAGAAGTGGGTCAACAGCTGTGGGTGTCTTAATTTCTCCTCAACATACTTATTTCATTAACTGTGGAGACTCGAGAGGTTTACTTTGTAGGAACAGGAAGGTTCACTTCTTTACACAAGATCACAAACCAAGTAATCCTCTGGAAAAAGAACGAATTCAGAATGCAGGTGGTTCTGTAATGATTCAGCGTGTGAATGGCTCTCTGGCTGTATCAAGGGCCCTTGGGGACTTTGATTACAAATGTGTCCATGGAAAAGGTCCTACAGAGCAGCTTGTCTCACCAGAGCCTGAAGTCCATGATATTGAAAGATCTGAAGAAGATGACCAGTTCATTATCCTTGCATGTGATGGTATTTGGGATGTTATGGGAAATGAAGAGCTCTGTGATTTTGTAAGATCCAGACTTGAAGTCACTGATGACCTTGAGAAAGTTTGCAATGAAGTAGTCGACACCTGTTTGTATAAGGTAGCTAGACTTTTTTTTAAAAGATAAAGTAATTTAAATCATCTTAATTACTACTCTAGTATATACTAATCATCTTAGAATCTATAGTTCTTAGAAAGAAGTTTTTGGTACAATTGCAGAATACTGTTCACCAATTATGAAAATAATATAGGAAGACTTCTTAGAAATAAATTACCCAGTTGCCAGATATGTAAGAACTATAATCTGAATGTTTAATCATTTAGTAACCATGACTACTTGAGTTTTTTAATATTGTGGAATATTATCAAAGGTAACAAATTATATCAAAGTGCATGTTTTAAAGGGAATAGGGAGGCTTAGGCCTCTGTGTCTGTATGTGAAAGTACTTTAGAATTTTAATTTTTTTACCGTGTGCTATCTCAGTACACTTACGGAAGTACTTTGAGACTATGGTCTAATGAATTTGTAGCACCAACGGAGAGAATTTAGTGATCATGTGGTGTGATTTACTAGAAATAGCCTTGGACATGGAGTCAGAAGAACTTGGTATGAGACTGTATGACTTCAGGTAAGATTTAAACTGTCTGGAAAATCAGTTTCTTTAATTGTTTGGAAAAAAAAAGGAGAGAGATTATTACCCTGTCTCATGGGGTTGTTGGGGATGATCAAATGGGATCATACATATGGATGAACAGGAGAAGGCTCTACGGGCTTAAGAGTCAGACCTGAAATCAAATCCTACCTCGATTATTTTGGGGCTGTACAGTCTTGAACAAATTGTTCAGCCTCTCTCAGCTGTTGAATGGAAGAAATAGTATCTAACTCATAGGACTGTTGAGGGATTAAATTAATAAGCTAATGTATACATATAAAGTGCCTAGTTTAGGAACCTGTGTACTGGATACCTGCTGCTTCCTTCTCTAGAGAAGTTAAAAATGTTACACAATGTACTTCTTCAGTTGTGGCACTAAGACTAGAAACCAGGCCCTTGACTTAGGTTCAGTCTTCTTTCTACCACACTGTTCTATTTTGTCAGTCATGTTCATTAACTAATTCTTTGGAGTTTTTTGGTTATAAAACTCTTCTAAGGCTATATATTTTATTTCATTTTGACACAGAAATAGAAAGTCAGCATAATATTCTTTGTAGTTTTATATGCAAACTGCCAGCTGTACTGAAAATCTTAAAATCTGTACTTAGAAATCAGGTTTATGTAACATCCAACACAAATCAAGTTTATGTAATATCCAACATACATGTTAAAAAAAATCGATAGAGCAACAGTTTGATAGTGTGCACTGTTAATTTCTGAATTTGTAGGGGACCAAAGATGCATATGTTCTTTGTACCTTTTAGTATTAAAAAGGGACAAAGTAGCATTCATTTGTTAGGTTTATTCTGTAGCACCTGAGAATTAAACATTTGTTAACTAAACTAAAATCTGTTTTCTTGAGAGAATTGTCAGATTCAGATATTAGTAAATTATGACTCAGAATCTACCTTATCTCTTCTGCATTATGCTTTATTTAAAAAATTATTCACTACCTTATCATTTGGCACATTTTTATACAGTTTTCACCCAATATTCTTTTTAATATTAAATTCTTTGTTTGCCTAAACAAATTGTATAATGTTAGTTTTCCCATTTAGGGGAATTAAATACTTAAAATGTAGAAGTTAATTCCAATTACTAATAGGAAGTCTGATTTGTGGGGAGGCCAAAATTGAGTCAAGTACTTTAATTACAGCATTTTGAATACCTAGGTGTCTTTAAAAATAAATGTACTTCCTAAAAGTTAAGCCATTTTTTTAAGTTGTGAAAGTTAAAAGCTGGTTTATAAACTTTATATATGAAGTTTTATTTTTAATTCCTTATTTCTACTTACTATGAAGCAAATTAATTAGCCCCACAATTTAAGTGTAAATTTGTCAAGTATACATGTAAATACAGGTCAAATCATGTTGTGAGGAATACTACTAAAATTTTCTATCTTATTGAACTGAATGTATGTATGTATGTTATGTATGTATATTTCTGTTAGTTATCACTTCAGGTTAAGTAGGCCACCAGGAAATGTTCAGAAATATTTCTATCTTAAGAATTTAAGAAAAATAATTGTTGTAGTATAATTTAACCTATAGTGTTTCTCTCCCGTCTTTTGGAGTGTTGGTTATACTGTACAGTATATATACTATATATGTATGGGAGGATGCCCCTCTATATATACATTTTTTTCTCCTTAAAAACAATATATATTTTTACTAGAACAAGTATAATTTGCTTGGGTATAAAGGTACTCAAGACTTTGAAGAGCCAAACGAAAACAAAATACTTTCTCAAACTTTTTTCTTCCCAGGGAAGTCGAGACAACATGAGTGTGATATTGATCTGTTTTCCAAATGCACCCAAAGTATCTCCAGAAGCAGTGAAGAAGGAGGCAGAGTTGGACAAGTACCTGGAAAGCAGAGTAGAAGGTGGATCATTTAACAAAAAATAAGTAGCTTTATTAAAGAAAAACCTCAACACAATCAAATTTTAACATTTTAGCTTTTAGGTCTTTACATACATGCCTTTGACATTTAGTGTTTAGTGTGTAAAAGTGGAAAAGGGTGTTTCTGTAGTAGCTGTTTAGGTATTTTGTTGTCTTATCACAGTTATAAGTAACAACTAGTATGGCCCAATACATTCTGTTCAGGATACTTTTGTTTAAAAAGGCTAAAGTGTTTGTGTGCTTTCAAATTCTTGATGAATTCACTGGTATGAGTAATTTTATGCCAGGAGAGTCTTATTTGTGGTTTTAATTAATTATAAACAGATTATTCTTGATGGTGATAATTTGTACCATCTTTTTATATAAAGCTGTGTGTATGAACTTAAGGTATTTGGGGACTTTTTAAAAACAGCTTAAAGATCGTAGTCTGGTTAATAACAACTTTCATGTGCCACAGCTTTTAAAAATTCATTTTAAACTGTTTCAGAAATTCTTGCCTAAGCCATAAACTGCCTCACCTAGACAACATAAACCTGAAAGAAGACATACTAGGTCTCTACCTGGCAGAAATGTAAATGCTGAATAAAGTCAAGAAATAAGTTGGAAATTCCATAAGTGTGTTTGTTGTAATTCTGCAAATTACTTTGAGACAGTTAGAAAGGTGTTTGTACTCTCAAGTGTAATGCCTTTATTTGAAAAAGTTTAGGTGATTTTTGATGCAGGTACTACTGGGTATAAATGTTGTCTCAGAGAATTCCAGTTTACTGCATATATACAGTAAGCATGTAGATTATGCAGTTTCTTTAAGCAGAAAAACTTGACATGCCTATAATAGTGTTAAAATACATTTTGGGCTCCTAATGTCATTACTTTGCACGTTAAAGACCTCTAACAGCATGTAAGCATTGACCTACACACTATTATATCCTACTGTGCCGGCATTTTATTAAAATTAATGTGCACTTTAATTTTGTTTTCACCCTTTTTACTGTTTGATATCAGTTATAATTAGTCTGATATTAGAATCATGATTGGTTTTGATTTTCAGTACTGTCTAGAGCGGCTATTTTGTTTTTCTCTCCCCTGCTTGATAATGATATATCTAGTATGTGTATGTGCTATTTAGGATTTCATTCATTGGACATACTATTCAATGAGTTTGTTTCCTATTACCAAGGGTCTTGGAAAATTTTTATTTAAAGTGATTCATTTCAATATAAGTTATTTATATATAATACAGTAAGATAAAATATTTAGAATGCTGCCAAGTCGTATCACATCGGTTCAAGCTGCTGGTTAGTGGAAAAAATATGAAACCTTAAGAAGACTGTGTATTGGGATATGTTGATATTTAATTTATTGGCATTTTTAATTAACTTGGGTGTACATGTTTTCTTACTGATTTAAAGAAATAAATAGTTTTATTTACTATGAAATTGGGTCAGAATTTATAAATGAATTGCTACTTTTAGTGGGCACTCTTAAGTTTTTTATGCAATTTTAAATAATTGCTTAGCATACATAATTTTGTTACAGTATTAAGTTTTATATTGCTTATTATCAAGCAAGAATTGCCACCTGAACAGTTTTCATTAGTACTTAGTATTTTTGATATGTTGAAGTGTTGTTATACTTGTACTGTTTAATTAGAATTATGTCATAAATACAGTATATGGAGGTAGATTTGATGAGACTGCAACTAGAGAATAAATATTACATCAATTAAAACCACTACTAAATTTAAAAACATAGAAAGAATGTAACTACTTGCATTGTAAAAGTTGTTAATATGTCTTAAAAAGTGATAAATACTGCATTCAGCTTCCAAAACAGGCACCAAATACCTTTTTCTTTTTTTTTTCCTTCTTTAAATATAAGCCTTCACTAAATTTCTGTGACCTACTAAACCTCATCTTATTTGCTTTGAATACTTTTGACTTCTCTGTCCACACCACAGAAAAGGACAAAGAGTTTTCAGCTTTCCTCCTGTGATCTTCTCAATACTTGCCTCTCTAGGGTTGTGAAAAGATTCAACTCATAATTTAAACCATACCACTTAAGGTTTTGGTCCTTCTAAGTCACTTTAAGAGCATACCTATGTATGTGTATTTTTATTTGCTACTGACTGCCCAAGCTTTAAAGTTGCTAATTTGGAGATAACTGATAGAATTCCTCAGACTTGGTGGAGGGGATGGGACATAGCAGAATATGTTTATATATGAGTATGTGAAACACAGATCTATAAATATATATTCTTTAATAAAAGCATTCAGTCTTTTTGCAATTCTAATTAAAATGTAATTAGTCCAAGAGCAATTAAAGGACTGTTTCTTAAAATTTTTTCTTTTTCAAAAAGCAGAAAGAAGCAAGGCTAGTCTAGTATTAGTGGTTAGATAGTTTAAATGTATTGTCCCATGTGGAATAAGATATTAACTGTTTTAAAAGCCTTATATTATTTTTTTAAAGAATTTGTCTTCTTGTAATTTTCTTCACAATTAAAATATCCTAATTTTTATATTTTAACAAAGGAGATGTAAGATACATCAAATATAGATAATTCAAGGTAATGTTTTTAGACCTGAAACCTCATTGATTGAATTTATCATCAGTGTTCATTTCTGTTGTATCTAGTTATCTATCCAATAATTGTATTGGCTTAGCAGAGACTGTATGTTAAGTGTATTACAGCTTTAGATTGTGAAATTGTGCAGTTTAGGTAAATATCAAATCCCTTTATTTTTGTACAGCAGATTTCCAGCATTAGAATCATATGTAGAATAAATATACTAGATGTTAAAGATTATACAATAAAGGAACTTGGCAAACCAAATCTGAGATCCTTGCTTTTTGTTCAGATTTAAGACTGGTTTAAAAAAAAAAAAAAGGCAAAAAATAAGAGATGGTAAAATTTGGCTTTAATCCTAAAAGGACAACTTAAGCCATTTAAAGAGATATGGGTAGCACTGTCTGTCTTTTAATATATGGCTTTAATGATGAATTAATATTTTGAAACTTGATCAGAGGATGAAATATCTTTATATGCATTGCTATTTTCAAAGGTATTTACAAATTGAGAACTAGAATGATCCCCAGTTTAAACAAAAATTGAACAAAACTTGAACATGTAACTTACAAATACCTTTGGCATGATCTTGCATTTAGAATAAATATGCTAAAACTCAGATAAAGACTTCTTATACTTAAAGTGAATAGTTTGAGAGCTCTTTAAGTTGTTTGCGCATAATTGTTGGTATTCTGTGGTATGAATAACAATATACATCTGCATGGCAACACCGTAAATCATAGCACTCTACCCATTTAATAACTGGATGTTTTGAAATTGACAATTTTAAATGCAGTTGTATGGTTGTAGTTGTATGGTTTATCAGATATTTTTCTTTTTAAAAAATTTGTCATGAAATTTAGACATTTTCCATTCTGTAGGCTTTGTTTAAATAATCAACTAAGGAAATGGTATATACCTATTTATTGCTTAAAGATACTTGAGACAAAAATTAAACTGAGAGAGCTGAGAATGATGTTCAGGTACATGACCTGTTCTGCACATGCTACTTAAGTATTATTTTGCAAATATAAACATATGTAAATATGATTTGGGTTAGGATATAATCAGTAAATCCCCCATACTTAAATGTTTTTTTTTATTGTTTCACATCTTGAAATTGCTAATTTTTTAAAAAAAATAGGTGCACTGTGTTTTCAGCTCAAAGTTCAGGAAACATGTTTCCAGTCTAAAAAGAGGAGAGAATCTCCTCAGAAGTAATTAGTTGGCATCTTAAGAAGAATATTCTCATTTGTTCACACATATCCCTTATTAAGTAATACATTAATTTTAACATGAAATTTTTTTCACATTTTTATCTTATTTTTGTTCTTTGAAGTTAATCTGGAAAGTATGTCATCTTTTGTGTCATTTTATACATCCCTTTGTTATAAATTTTCAAAGGTCATCTTGATTTTTTTTTCTTATACTAGTTTAGAAAATCTCAGATTGGTAAATGCCATCTTTAAAAACCTAAGTTATCTTTATTTCAGTTTTTTTGTGTTATTATTAAACTGGATAACACTTACAAAAAAAGTACTTCTGATTCCCAGAAATCATAAAGAAGCAGGGGGAAGGCGTCCCTGACTTAGTCCATGTGATGCGCACATTAGCGAGTGAGAACATCCCCAGCCTCCCACCAGGGGGTGAACTGGCAAGCAAGTAAGTTACATTCTGCATACTCTTAACCATTTATCTCAGTACATGAAAATGTTAAGTGTCCATTGATCAGATGTGTATTTACCTAATTCTAAAGTGGTGTGTTTATCTGTGTCTTTAAAATTAACCTGTGATTCAGTGCTTTTCAGTATTAGTGGTATATGGTGCTTCGTAGACCGGGTATAAGAATGTCATTGTAACTAATTACACTGAAGGCTATCTTTAAAGGATGATTGGGTTACACTGATTTCCTCATGTAGCATAAATGAGACAATACAGTGAAAGAATTTTTTAAACTAAATTATATAATACTACAAAATTCTAAGTGTCATTATTATTCCTACTATTATCATCTGGTTTTGTCAGTCCCTGGATACCTAACATCCCAGGGATAAGCATTTTTCTCTTCTAACATCTAGGCCATTTCTTACATCTCTGATTTTCCCAGTGTTTTTGGTTGTTGATTGCTGGTTGATTGGGCTTTGGTGTGAGGGAAGGCAGAAGGACGCATTTCTTACTTTTTTTCTCTTTGCACTTTAGTTCATAGAACTGGACTCACCTGTGTTAAATATTAAGCTTACCTCTGTATAAACCAAGTGAAGACTTTAAACAATTTTATAATTCAAGACATAAAGCATTTTTACCTTAGATATCCATGTAATTGACTGACAAAGATATATTGACTAATTTCCTTGATTTTCCACTGTGTTCTGTAAGTGTAGTCATATTCTTTATAATCATTTCACTAAATAGTAGTTGTAAAAATTCTGGTTTGAAGCTTTTACTTTTTGGAAATTATTTCTTCAGTATGACCTTCTGTGAAATGATTGTCTATAAAATTGTTTTAAATCAATTTTAGAAGTAGGAAGGCTATAACTTAAAAATACCACTACAGATTCTTTATTTTTAATAAAATGTGTTTCAGAAACTAATTCCTAGACATGCCAGGGAAATGTCATATTTGACATTTCAGTTTTAATAGACCTTTTTTAAAGGGGCATTACAAAAAGCAGAAATTTAAATGTAAAATATATCTAAATTATTTTACTACAACAAATGTTGAAGTTATTTCTACTTCAAAACTAACATTCAGCTCTTAACTAGAATATATTAGCATATCCTAAGAATTGCATTGTCATTTCTGACTCATAACCACTTAGTGCCAGTTTGAATAGAAGTAGACCATACAGACTGATTTTCTTTTAAGCCATGACTTTTAGTCTTCTATTAATTGCATTAATAGAATGTTACATTTTTGAGTATATTTACTTCTACTTTAACATTGGGGCCCAAATATCTTAAAGTAAGGCTCACTTATTGACAGTAAGAAATAAAACTAAAGTAAGTGTATGATTGTCTTTGACATTTTAATGAACACCTGGCTATGAGTTATTAAGCAGTTTTGTGCTCTGAAGAATTAACTTTCTGCATTTTTTCCTAAATTTAGGCGGAATGTAATTGAAGCCGTTTACAATAGACTGAATCCTTACAAAAATGATGACACAGTAAGTAGCATTTTAGCTCCTTGCGCTTTCCCTTCCCTTCCACTCCACAAATGCATATCCTTCCTACCTGTTTTTGCAGAGCTGTTCAGTGCACCCATTCTCTTACACACACCCCTGATTGATTGCTCTGAACTCTGCCTGCACCACAGTTCTAGTGATTGAGGACATAATCATGGTGAGTGGCCATCTCTCTCAAAAAAGAAGAAAGTCCCTTTGAATTGTTCTGGGTTGTTTTTTTTTTTCAAGCCTCTACAAGCAGTCAACTTCAGAAGTTTTCCTCCACTAAATTTCTTTTTTGAAGTTGGTAATATCTCTGCTCAGAATTTTGAATTATTCTGAGTTTTTTAAGCAGCTACAACAGAACTTTAGACTGCCCATCTCCACTAAATAGTTTTTATGGTTGGAAATACCTTTGTCAAGAACCCTGTATACTTAGAGAATTCTGTTTATATAAAGACATTTAGAATGCCATATTCTCCAGTTAAGTTTTCTGTTAAAATTCTGTTGTAGTATGGTGATTACAGAAAAGTGATAACTTAAAATCATTTGGGCCCAGCTCTGAAGTATTTTATATATTGCCTTATGAAGCCTCCTCAAATCTCTTATTACTTGAGGTCTTAATGTCTTCTATGCAATCAAAATTTATAAAGGTAGTGCTCTAAAAATAAATTGGGTTTATTGAAGAGAAAAAAATTCTTTTTAGTGGTTTTATTGGCTTAGAAATACATTTGGTCAACCTCATGATAAAATCATATTTCAGGTATTTTATTCCAAAGTAAAACAAAGGGTTTAACAATTCTTTGAACAGATTAAATATTGATATTTCATATACACATGTACACATACTTATATACTTTAGAAAACATTTATATTCCAAAGGTCCACTTTACAAAACCTTACCTTTCTGCATTACTCGGAAGGTAGCGTACCTCTAAGCTTTAATTTAGTTGCTTGTTTTGCTTTGTTTCCTTTTATAAAGGACTCTACATCAACTGATGATATGTGGTAAAACTGCTCATCTAACCATGGAGTTTACCTTCGCCTCCAAAGGAGAGTACAGCTCAACTTCATTGAACCTTTTAAACATCCATCCTCCACGTTTAAGAAAGGCATATATGACATGGGTGAGAGTGATTACACCAGAGAACTTCAGCAGTACAACAGCTAGCCCAGAACTGATTTTTTTTTTTTGTAAATTTGAGACTTATGTAAACGTGATTTCAAACCATAATTCATGTTGTAAATCAGACTCCAGCAATTTTTGTTGTATGATTTTGTTTTTTGTAAAGTATAATTGTCCTTGTACAAAATGCTCATATTTAATTATGAACTGCTTTAAATCACTATCAAAGTTACAAGAAATGTTTGGCTTGTTGTGTGATGCAACAGATATATAGCCCTTTCAAGTCATGTTGTGTTTGGACTTGGGGTTGGGACAGGGAGAGCAGCAGCCATGTCAGCTACATGCTCAACGGTGCACGTGATTATGGAGAACTATTCCAAACTCTTACAAAGCTGAACATCCAGGGAGTTAATTGAAAACTATCTTAATTTTATTGGCAGTGGGATTGGCATTGTTGATAAAGCTGGTCCCTTCATTTAACTGTCTTTTAGGTTGTTCTCTCCTTGTTGCCATGAGTATTGCAGGTAATACAATATATTCATAAGAATATCAATCTTGGGGCTAAAATGCCTTGATTCTTTGCACCTCTTTTACAAGTCCTTACATTTAATTACTAATTGATAAGCAGCAGCTTCCTACAGATAGTAGGAGACTGCCACATTTTTGCTATCATGATTGGCTGGGCCTGCTGCTGTTCCTAGTAAGATACTCTGAATTCCATTTTATCAATAAAGCTTGATTTAACAAACAAGAAATTTAATCATGTATGTGTAATTCCTCCTTTACCCTGCCCTTTTAAAACACCATGCCACTGTAAGTGAGAAGTTTCTCATGGGGAAAGATGTTAGTCTCTTAATTGGAAAATAGTTACTTAAGGCATAGATAGAACTGTTTCCCTTCCATTAGAAAGACTGAGTTATGTCTCTGTGGTTCCCTAATCTGGTTTTAAATGGGTTTCTTTCTGGCTGCTTATTTTTTCATTAAGATGTGTATCAGCTTGAGTTTGCCTACTGTTTAATTAAAGTAATTGTCAAAGCTTGACAGTCTAACACTCGATGGTAGGGGTGTGTGTCGTGTGTGTGTGTGTGTGTGTGTGTGTGTGTGTGTTTGCCTGTGATTTATAATTGGCTCATGTCTTTAGAATCCAAGTAGTTAAGATGTATTTGTGATTTGAAATATAGCATGTTGAATATATTTAGCTGTTGGCCTTTAAAAATAACTTTCAGAAGCTTAAAGAATTGTAGATATAAAAAAACCTAATTTAATTTAGGTTTCAATTCCTCTGATTAAGCATGTGAAAGTAAGTTTTAAATCCTGTCACATTGAAAAGACTACTGTTCTGTGCCCTTCTGTATTTTTGTCTTTTTAGGTTGAATGTTGTATTTATCACCATGTTATTTAATCATTCAGTAGGCAGATTCTCCACTAGAAAACTATTAAAATGTAAGGTTTAAATACAACACTGAATACAAAATCAAAACTTTGTGTATAAAAGGTAGTATAATTTTGTTATATTTGTTTTTTCCCTAACTTGGAAATATACGTATTTGTATATATAGCCTTAAAACTAATGTAAAGTTAGGGGAGTAGTGGGAAGAGTAATGTGAAACATGCTTCAGATTTAGGTAGTTACATAAACCAGCAAAATCTTTTCATTATCCCTCTTATTTGTGAGGTGATTACATGTAACTTAATTGTATTTAATTTATATCTTAATCCAGCATGAAGAAAAAAAGTACTATTTATATTTAGAAATTCATAACAGTTGGAATTATAGAACCAATTCCGTACTTAACTTACAATAAATGCTTAATGTCTAAATCTGTGGTAGAGTGCGAAGTATGGTACTGTTCTAAGTTATGACTTTGCAAGCATCTAAATTTATTGAATACATACATTTAATGAATAACAGTGCTTCTAGTATAGACTGATTACTAGACATACTAGTACTGAAAACTAAATTCCTATTACATACAGTTCCTTAATTGTTTAAGTAGACTAAGGTTTTTAGTTCTGGAAATTTCAAAAGCTTGAATTGGATTTTAAGATGCAAAATCTTAATAGTAAGTAAAATATGTGTTGGAAAGCTATATTTCAAACCATAATAGCATATTTAGAGACTTTTTAAAATTTGAAAGTCTTTATAAAGAGAAGGTTAAAATATTCCTGTTAAAATTAATGAGTACAGAAGTTAGTCTTGAAAGTGAGAGAAAACTATATTAAGTGTGATCTAAGAAGACTAAATCTTTTCCACATGAGTCAATATTGCCATACTAGGTAGAATTTTTCATTACAAAAATACAGGGAGGAAGTACACATTAGAACCGCAGTCTGTGTGTATTCTTGATTCCTGGGGCTAATGGTGGTGGTGGGGAACCAGCCACACATTTAAAAGGCACTTTTAGCACCACTGTTGTGCACTTCATTTTTGTACCACTTAAATTCTTGACCTCCCACCCTCTTTTGTGTGCTGATTAGCATCTCAGGGCAATGCCTCAAAACTTTTTGATGTGTTGTATTTTCTTTGGAGGGATAAAGTTCTTTTGTGATGATAATATACTACTAAAATGTACTTCCATTTAAATATTTTAACAGGATGAACCCACTTTGCTGCTTTTAATAGGAAATTCATTTTGTATAGCAGATTCTTGTTATCCTAACATTAAAATTTTCACTGATCTCTTATTCTTTTAGCAAGGTAAGCTCTCTTAATTTCCATTTTCTTAGGGAATATACTTTTACAGATAACAGAAGCAGTTCTTAATATTAGCATTAACTTTTAAAAATCCAAACAGTATTTTTCTTATTCAGCTTTAGAACTGTTTCAAACTTATTTTTAATTATGACGCATTAACTTGCTTCTAGAGTTCTATGCAATTAGTGTACTACTCCAGCCACTTAATTTTTTTTTACTACATAATATTAAGAAATCTGGATTAAAGAATAAATCAACTATGTACTTCAAATAATCTGAATTAATAGCAGTACTTTTGGTGATTTATTTGACCAGTCCAGCGAATAACTCACCTTTTCTACAATATATATTGCATTATCTGCAAAACACTGTTCTAGGGTAAGCACCTTGGAACTATAAAGAAATGAATAGGTCCTTGTCTCAAGGAGTTTACATATGAATAGAATTTATAATCTAACATATGTTAATGTTATAACTGGATCACTCATCCAAAAAAATAGCTATTGCCCACCTACTGTCTGCCAGATACTTTCCGGAACAAGGCAGGTCTCTGCCACAAAGAGCTCATTTGCAGTTCCTTTGTTCACTTGAGAACTCTTTTTTTCTGTTTATTTTCTTCTCAAAGTTAAAAATCTCATTCAAAAGAAAATTTTGCTTAGCATAGGAATCAAATTAGACTAATGAGGCTCACACGTCTATTCAGTATGCTTGACTGCCGTGCACGGCTGGCCTTTACTCTTCCTGCTGACAGCAGCATGTCAGAGAAACAGGTAATGGATTTCTTAGAATTCTCCAATCTCGGAAATGCTGTTGGAGTTTGAGTTAAGGCATTTAAAAAATATATACACACACACACACACACACACACATATATATTTATCTTAAGTAAAATTCTGTATTTTCTTGAAAACACATTGCCAGTGTTAGTGTCCAATTTTAGTCATGTGATTACTGTGTTTTAACTTTTTAAAAATAATTTTACTGCCCGTCTTTACTGGACAAATTCTTTGGAAATTCATTTTGTAGTTTGTGAAAGAACTGATGAAACACATTACAGATTTTCTTCGTTCTATTTTAATTTTGAATTTCATGGTGTGTGCTTTTAATTCATGAAGTTTAAATGAAAGGTTTAAGCCCTTAATGTTTTGATTATTTGTACAGTACTGTGTTAGGACTTGGTATTAGAAAATATGTAAATATTTTAGTATATAAATGTTTTTCATTTGAGGTTTTTCTTTGAAGGAAACTTTAAGAGCTTCACATACTTTTGCTTGCGAATACTGCTGGTGAGATGACCATTTTTTAATTAAGTGATCTAGTCTTCTAATGAGTTTTTCTTTTAGGCATTAGGTATACTTCTTTATAGTTTAAAATTTTAGAAGCCTAATTTTGCTGAATTTCCTTCTGTAATGTGCCATGAGTTTGGGGTTGTATCTGTTTTAAATTTTACGTACAATACTTCAGAATATGCTTGAAATATTTAAGGATACATTTTCTAAATGTTATGAATATATAATTCTCTTCTGTTGGTCAGAATAGTCTCTTATTACTGATAGAATGCTACACAAGGATGATGAGAGGCATTTGATTCCACTTTTGTTCACTTTAACACAGATTTTTTTCTTTTTTACCTCTTTTATATATTAAGTTAGGGGCCTCTGCTCTCATGTTTTCCTAATTATATTACCAGCAGGTAGGAGTGCACCAGTTAGAAACACTCGGATATATTAAAATTGAAAATGTAGTTGACAACAAACTTTTATTAGATGGGGGAAAGGGTTGTTTAAATTGATACAACAACAAAGTGGCATTTTTTCCCCCTCATCTTGCAGAAAATGTTGCTTCATTTTCTCTACTACCCTCTTGGCTTCTCTTTTCTTTTTTCAGACCAAAACAGGTCAGTTCCATTTTTTTGAGCTTTCAAGAAAGCTTAGTGCATTACCTCACCAAAGCCAATTCCTACTATGTAAAGCTGGGCCAAAAATAAGAAAACCTGGGAGATGGAGGGGTGGGAAGATGCCAGTGAGGAGGACAGAGGAAGATTACTTTTAATTATTTAAAAGCATAGGAAGTCTTCCATGGGCCTAGGCGTATATGATTAAGAACTCTTGCAGCACATAAACCAGCAAGAACCAGTCTTCGCTTCTGCAGATAATTTTTTTGATGATTTTTTTTCCAGCTAGGCAGCTAATGATAGAAACGACTGCTTCTCCAAATAGGAACAACTGAGAAAAATAAATGCAATGTTTCTTCACCACAAAACCCAACCCTTCAATTCTCATTGTTCCGAAACCCAGTTTTCTATAACAGTTTTCTCACTGAATTAAATGCTTAGAAAAAGTGAGAAGAATTTCCTTTTACATAGTGTTTTACATGGTGCTCCTGATCCAGTGAGGGACGCTTAGTAACGTTTGCATTTGTATGGTACTGTGTGCAGTTAGATTTGTGTAAGAGACTGGGTAGCTGCAGAACAAAATTACTAGTCGTCTTAGGTGGAATGAATGGCACAAATTCATTACAGCAGTGCTTCTTAACCTCTTAGGCTTATAGGCCCTTTGAGACCAAATGATCTTAGAAACTTTGTTACCCAGGAAGATGCATATAATGTAGGTAACTCCCTAAAGTTCGCAGTATCGTAGTGGTTCCTGGGCCCGTGGTTAAGATCACATGCTACAGTATAATAGGGCATCAGCCTTCTCCCTGCAAAGCCCATAAAAAATACATTGAGGACATCAAAATAATGAATCTGTTTTAAGGAACTGTTTCGCTCTTTAAAAGAAAGGGCGATAGGTGGGGGCCTCAGTGAGAATCTGATATGAAAATATCCTTTTTAAAATTGGTATCTTGAGGAAAGAGAGCGATTAGTATTTGAACTAGTTTTGGATAATGATATCTCTAAGTTTGCCACTTTGAATCTCAGCAGAAAAGAGGTAAAATGGAAATGTTAATGGAACATTTCTGACCAGCATAGTGTAGATTTAATATATACAAACAACACATTTACCTGTCAGCTCTCACTCAGGTTTTAAAGATTTTGAGGTTCCCGGTGTTAGAGTTCATTAAATGTTTAGTTCACTTCAACTTCTGAGAAATTAGATATTACTGACACAAAATGTTAAAATAGGATCTAACAGACAGCCACCAATATACAGGATTAATAAGGTTTCTCTTAAACATACCTACCATGAAAAAATTGATTATTTTACTGCATTTGTTGTCAAAATTGGGATGTTTGGTTCCAGGTTATTTAATTCCAATTTGTGGGAATTTTGAAACAGACTGTCTTACCTGGTTAGCCCTTAACTGATCTGCAGAAAAAATATCTTATTTATAGTAATATGCCCCAACACTGGTTGGTTTCACTCTTGAATTGATTTATTTCATTTAATTTGTATAAATGTTATGAGTGTAGAAACCATGTACATGTTAAAAGCATGTTGCAGTATATTTGGATTCATTTTTTTAAATCCATACATGTAAAACTAATACAACTGCAGAAATATTCCTCCTAAACACAGTATAACAAAACACAGTAACTCACCCACTGTTGGCAATTTATGTGATCCAGACTTTTAAAGAAATTCCAAAAATGTATATGTTGTATTATGTACCATTTCCTGGTCCAAAGAAAATATGTGAATTCAGTTCTAACTTTAAGAATGTACTTTTTGTTTTCACGTCCATTGAAGAAACTGCATTCAGCCTGTAGAATGGTTGTAGATTGTATGAGATGACAAGTAGAAATAATTCTAGCTTGCAAAACTGGTGCCACTAAATAAACAGGCAATTGCATAATGTGTGTGTATCTATGATTGTTTGATATTGCAAGCAGTGTTTTTGTTCTGCCTAGAAACCTGGAAAATTTGAAATTATTAGGAGACCTGAAAAATATTTTTGTTCAGTTGAATTTGGTTAATTTGCTTAAAAAGATCTGACAGCATTTTAACTAGACTTGTCTGTTCCTGATTTTAGGAAGATGACTGAAAGCCAGTAAGTTTGGATTGATGGTTATTTTCATGAAAACATTCCAGGAATAAAGAAGCCAGAAGTTGTTCTTCTTTGGCAAGAACATTCCCATTGGTCTTCTTACAGATGATATCTATTTCTTACTCCTTTGAAGAGTTGACATTGTGCATGGGGAGTGGCCTGAAAAAGGGCTTCTCCATCTAGCTAGTATCCCTGGTGTACTGCCTGCTTCGTAATATACGTGTGTGTTCAGGATGCTTATTCCCTTTGCTCATTCTGAAAATTGGTTGTACCTCTGTCCTGTGTCCATTCATGTCTGAAAGTGTGACTTATTTTACGGGCTTGCATAAGTTAAGATTTTAGAGTACAGTGAATTGGTGATGTAAGTGAAGTTCTATGAACTGCAAGAGCATATATATTCATTGTAAAATGTGCAATAAAAACAGTAATGAGGCATCATAACCAAAGGTATCAAGTTTTAGAACTAAGTAAGGTTGAGGCAAATAAAGATTTATTTGGCTTACGTGTAACTAGTATCTGTTCACTTGTTAAAGTGTGTCCTATAGTTTTTTTTGTTTTGTGTAGTTATTCTTTTGAACGTTGAAACTGAAATGAAAACATTTTATTGAGAGTTAACATGTATGGATCCGTTTCAGTCTGTGACTGTGAGACATCACCGAAGTCTCAAAATAGTACTCTTTCATGTGCAGCCCATGTGAAAGGTGGATGAAGGCTCTAATTTGTTCTAGGTGGTGATCGAACCTAGGTTGTAGCCGTGCTGCGCCCTTCTGAGGATCTTTTGTATTGTATTTTGCTATTTGGATTTCTTTTGGTAACAAGTGACTAAAATTGCCTAGTATTTAAAAAAGGGGTTTGCTAGAAGAGTTTTTTGACTGTTCTAGGCCAGAGAGATTATATGTGTACCATATATTAGCATCCTGAAACCACTCTGGGGTTGTCTTAAATTCTCAACGTAACGTTTTAAGTGTACAGTTGGTCCTATTTAATGAAGAAAACAAAGTTTAACTTACATATTAGAAGAGTTATTCTCAATTATTTTAGCCATTGATTTTTAACTGCCTATTAACAAAACTAAAAGGGTTTTTTTGACTGAAAATCTCCAGAACATTCCTAACAAAAACAACTAAAATTTTCTTGTGATTAGAAGCACATGGGAAATGACTTTTTAAGCTTGTCTTTAGGCATTGTAACTGTCTGCTTTTCTTGATGTACTTTGACAGACTCTTAGCTGCAGTGATCCTTAATAAAATAGAGGTTTTAATATTAAAAAGGGCAATGAAACTGTGCCTTTATCATAGAAAGGAAGCTGCTTGGTGTCCTTCCTTAGTGTTTCCTTTTCTTTCTGAAACCAGAATGATTGCCTTGTTTTTTTCCTTTTGTTTTAAATATGTAAGTGCCTAGACTGCAGTATGCTTTAGGGCTTCTATAAATATATATTTTTTAGAAAAACTCTGAAGGCGTTGAATTTTGTATCCTTGGACATCATAAGGGTTTGTCATGTGCTCTGTCCTGATTTTCACAACATATATAGGCTGGACTGTTTAATGACAGTAGGGTTGTGTCTATATACGCATGTATAAATGTCCTTGCTCAGGTCAACTCCACAGTGCCTGTCACTACTGTTAGTGATTCAACCTGACCTTCAGAGAGGTTTGCCCGCTTCATGACCAGATGGATTTGACATCTGACAGGACCACAGTGTCAGTAAAGGCTTCATCTCAGGAGGAGCAGGGCTCCCAGAAGGCAACTTCCTTGAGGGCAAGTCTCCATAATTTGAGATAAAGGAAGAATGCAGTAGCGATTTCTGGAGATCACATAGTTGGTGCTGTAAATCTGTTGGCACTGTCTTGATATTTTAGTTTCTTGGACTGAAAGTCAAACTTTTGTTCAAAACTCAGTTGTTCAGGTATAAAAACTTGAATACTTCATGTGAAAGAATTGTACTTTAAAATCTTAGAATCTGTGGTTTTTCTTAGACATTAACTTTAAGTTATTTAATGAAGTTGGCTTTGTTTTTTTTGGCATGGGAGGAAGAAGAAAAGGGAATGTGGAGAAGGGGAAAATAAGGAGATTTTTCCAAAATTCAAAATGGAGTTAATCAATTTAGTCTCCATAAATCATCCTCATGTTTTAAAACAGCCAATAATGCATCACTGGTTGATGGATCTGTCAAGTCTCTTTGTTCTCCCTCCATCATGTCCCTCCACAGGCCCTATGTTAGGGGAAGAAGGGGATGATCCAACTTCAGCTGTCCACTGCCACTTGTAGGTTCCATTAGGAAAGCAATTAAAATGAGGCTTAAGGGTTGCAGATTTCCCTTCTTTTATTGGATCCCTGGCTTTTCTAAGCAGTGGTTCTCAACCTGCCAGCAAGGTAGAATGACTTGGGAAGCTTAAAAAAAAAATCCTTCAGCAGTGAAGGTTAGGTTGAAAGGTTCACACTAACAGTTACTTCCCACCATGCCCAGTGAGTGCCTCCCTGGCCTCTCCTCAGATCCTCTGTTCCAACCCCTACAATGGCTCCCATTTCACTCAGAAGTCCTTATTTATATGATCCCCCTGCAAAGCCCCCTATCTGACCTGGTCCCTGTAATTTCTCAGTCAGGTACACCTCCATCCCTCTGCTAAGATACACTGGTCTGCCTGGCACAGAACATGCCTGTCTCATTCAAATCTAGGGTCTTACAGGCACTTGCTTTTACCTGTTTCCTCTGTCTGGATTGTTTCATTGACTAAAGCAAGTCACATCTAACTTCAAGGGGACCTGAAAGGAACAAACCGGAGTATTTGTGAACAATACTAGTTAACCACCATGGGGCACAATATGCATCTGATGGATGAATAAGCCTGTGCATGTGTGTGCACCTGCAGACAACGAGACTGGTGTTATGTACACTCTAGATGTCTTATTTGAACTGTGCACTTTGAGACAAGTGCTGGTAGCAGAGAGGGTGGAACCAGATGGCAGTGTCATAAGTGCTCATAATTATTAAGGAAGAGGTCACTGCTACTCATCTTTGGGGATGAAGCTGGGACACATAGTGTTGAGAATGAGGTTAGATTTCCATAAACAGAGCTAAGTAGGAAGTTTTCCAAGCAGAGGAAACAAGTGAGCAAAGGAAAAGAAGTGTCAGGTAGGGAAGGCTACTGAGGCCAGTGAGAATGTTGGTCTGAGCAGGAACTTCCCACACTCAGATCTCTAAGGGGGTGGTGAGAGAAGTTTAGATAAAGGTAGATCCCTAAGAAAGCCTACTTTTTATGTCCTTTGCTTATTCGTAAGAAGAGCTTTCACTAAGTTTGGATTATGAATATGACATTGCTTATCTTGAATCAGTTTTACTTACTTCAGTAACACATGGAGTTGTCCTTCCTTCATACACCACCCAGTGCAGCGCTGCCCCAAACCTCAGTCTTTAAAGAATTTTGGCCTATTGTCCAGTCAGAAAAATTTGTTATGTCCTCCACATAATTGGAGTGTTCTGGAGTCCCTGGGAGGGACATGGGCTGCAGAGAGCCTTGGCAGGAGTTCTAGCAGACCCGTGGGTCCACGTAGAAGGCATTCTCCACAACCTTAGCTGGTCTGGCCACTACCTGGCCTGCGTGAGCCAGGAGCCATGGTCTGACTTGAACTGTGCACTTTGAGGTGAGTGCGTGGGAGCAGGGAGGCGGGGACCACATGAAATGCTGTTTGAGGTTTCCTGTTTGCTCTCCCTCCGCTGATGCTGCTGCCCTTTGCGCTGCCGCCACCACCCTCCGAGCCAAAACTGCATAACATTAACATTCAGAATGTGGCGTCAGAGCTGAAAGCAGCCAGGTATCTGATAGTTTATCATTTTCCAAGTTTTCACAATGGACATTTTGTAATTTGAAAAACTTTATAAAACAGTCTCCAATTTATCAGCAGCTTATTTCTGATGTGACTATCTTAAAAAAATTATTATGTGCATATTTTTGAGCTGCTTCTAAAGCTATACCCAAGTTGACTCCTGGTGAATACAATCATTTGTATGTAAACATTGCGAGACACTTTTTCTCAGAAAGCTTCCCTCCACCCACAGTGTTCTGCTTGCTTCCATTCTAAAACAGTCACCTCTGCCAACTGTGGTTAGGCCATGAGGTAAAACTGATACATTTTTCTTAGTAAAGGTGATTCTTTGGAGCAGAAATTCTCTGAATATAAATAGCAAAAAGCAAAACTCAACAGTGTGGCTTCTGCTCATTTACTGGATACATCATCTGGCTGCTGCAACTGTCCTGCCCAGTATTGCTGGGGAGAATTTTTCACCAATATCAAATAAATAAACCCCTGGCGACACTAACCCTGAAATACTCTAAAGCTGCCCCTGTCAAAGACCTCTCCACTGCCACCCGCACCTGTGACTCTAGGCAGTTCACGTGGAGACCACTTGCTGTCTCTGCTGCAAGTTCCTGTGCACCTGCAGGTGCTTGGGCCTCAGTCTCAGCTTCTCTAGATAAGGATTCCCTATCTCTTCGAGGTGCTTCAGGGAGCGCCAGAGTGAATTTTATATTTGCCACAGAGTCTATATATTGAGTTAGAGTACCTTACGCTTTCTAAATTCAGTGACAGTCTTTCCAGTCATTTTCTTGTGGTGCAGGGAAAAGACAAATCAAATAGCAACTCTGATGTATATGGATTATTATATAAGTTAAAGAATATTAATAATTAAAATATATTAGATTTATCTCCCACCATGATTTAAAATAACCTGTTAAAGAATTCCTCAAACTGGGAGAAAAAAAAGACCTAGTATTTTTTCAAACATCTTTGGTCAACATTATACACCTGAATT